AACAGCATCTAATTTGTAAGTTCAACACTAGTCAACAAACACACACACACACAACAAACACACAAAACCCTAAAAAAGCACAAACTAGTCTTTTTAGTATCCAAGCTGTTGCCAAGAGATACTTCTAAAATCATAATATCTACTGCTTCTTTTCTTTTTTATGCTGACTAGTAAATTACTAAGGAGCAAAATTCATTCTAGTTACTCCTATGCATGCCCAATTGCTATGCAGCTATAGAACACAATGCAATACCAGCTGAAGCAGAATGATTAGGCCCATATCCAGCCTCATTTCCTAAGGACCAGGAAATGATGCATGCATGATTTTTGTCCCTTTCCACCATGCCAATTACACGATCCATCATTGCAGAAGCCCAGCTAGGTTCTTCGGTAGGATGCTTCAGATGCCCAGACAGAATAAACCCATGTGTCTCGATATTGGCTTCATCTATCATATACATGCCAAACAGGTCACATAACTCATACCAACGAGGATGTTGAGGATAGTGGCTGTTTCTGACAGCATTGATATTGTTCTGCTTCATCAGAACCAGGTCCTGTAAGCCAAAATAATGAAAAATCTCAGCATTTTAAGAAAATCATAGCTATAAGCCGAAATGCCATCTTTGCCAAGCAAAGAAAACAGCAAGAACCAAAAAACCATCACCTTAATCATGCAAGATTCTATGTTTGTCTTCCCTAGACGTGGGTGATGTTCATGCCTGTTCACACCTCGTATTACAACCGGCTGCCCATTAACAAGCAGCTGTTTTGGAGCTTTTGATACTTGTCTTATACCAATTAGGCATGATTCACAATCAATCACATAGCCAGATGCATCTTTAAGGACAATAACCAGTGTGTACAAATTTGGCTGCAGGGGATGAGAACAAGCAGGTAAGAATTCAATGAAGAAATGGTAGTGCCAGATGCCCCCCAACCCAAAAGGGAGAAAGACCCTCTTTTCTTAAGAAAAAATAAACAGGAGAAGCTGTGCATAAGGAGCACAATAATTTAGATGAATAGAAAAGTTAAATGAACAATAAAAAAAAAAAAAAAGAAGAAAGAAAGTATCCTTACTTCTTCTGCAGACCAGAGCTTGGGCTTTTCCAGTTTCCCTACTAGTATATAACCATTAAATCCATGACCGCCACTGGTGGGGGTGCTCAATGTTAAGTTAGTCACATTTGATGAAAGCAAATCAACATGTCCATCCCTGTTGTACCAGCTCCCCGTGTCATATAATGCAGCTTCTATGACATAGTTTGCCAGCTCTCTCTCTTTCAATGTTTCTCGTGAGTCATCTATTTTTACTTCAACCTGAATAACCACCAAATAGATGCAATGAATTATAATTGAGGGCTTTAAAGCTTCAGCATACTACAACTGTAGCTTAAACTAGCAAAGGAACCCTTAAAAAAGAAAAACTCAAGCACACATAATCTCCAAATTCATTACTCTCAAATGTGGAATAGATATTCTTAAATTGATAGGTACTTACCTGTATATCTGCATGAGAGAAGTTGTCAGACAGATTTGACTTGAAAAAGTAGTCTGCAATGAAAACCTGAAAAGAAAATTAGTTTGTTCTTTTCATTATCATTCAATACAAAGTAAGATAACAGTGTGATATATTCACATGTCTAGAAATAGAGATGGATTTGCTTAAGTCAAGGGTAAGCACATAAAAAGCTTCAGTTGCCTCTCTGCTTATACTCACTGCCAATGAAATTAGTGTAAGTACTGGTGAGTAAAACAAGAAGTAACAAGGTTGAAGAGAGTAGACACCTGTGGCTTTGCAAGAAGAAGCACATCACGATGAATGCCAGATATCCTCCAGTGATCTTGATCTTCAAGATAAGACCCATCACTCCATCTCAAAACTTGAACGGCCAGAACATTTTTCTTATCTGAACCAAATTGATAACAGTAATCTGGAATTTCAAATTCTGCCGGTAATCTGCTATCCTGACTGACCTTACACAATAGAGAAGAGTCTATTAATAGAACAATAGGTCCCGTAGAAGATTTCAATAAAACAAGTGCAACTCATACACAAAAAAAATAAATAAATAAATAGATAAGAAAGTTTAGAGAGAAGCAAATAACTATGAGACCAGAGAATATTATTAGCTAACATTAACTAAAAAATTTTGAGAGATGTGGCAAAACATAGCATATCGGTAGTAACATCTGCACACAGATATACAACAGCAATGATCTCCAGGACATTTTTTAAATATGCATCATATACCTGTATCCAACAGGGACCCCATTTACCCATGCACAGAAAGCAGAATCAACAGCCTCAAAATGCAAGATAATCCTACGACCTGTCAGAACACAAAACAATAAAAAGTTTAGTATGCTATATATGCAATTAAAAGAGTTAACAGATGATAAGAGTGAATAGTAAGACGCATGTATATAATTGGTAAGATGTTGGGGGCAGGAACATACCCTGCCATTCCTTAGGAATAGTAAAAAAAGTCCTGTAGCAGCCTGTAGGATTATCCTGAGGAAGGTGAGGAGGATCGAGTGGAAATGGATAAACAAAATTTGTGTAAATAGGGCGATCAAATCCATGCATTTGCCAATTTGAAGGAACTGGTACAGTAAGAAAATGAATAAAAAGATTATGAGACAGAAATCTAAAAATGAAACAGAAAAACAGAAAGAGCTAGTAATTAAAATTAAAATAAAAAGGCATCCACAAGTTATATTCATAGAAGTTAAAGGGGTTTTTCTAGAGCACCATTTAGTAATTAATTATCATAGTTGAATACAACAAAAGTAGTAGTATAGATTATGAGAGAAGAAGCCATAGACAATTATGAGTGAAAAGAGAAGATTGATTAGCACTGCTTACCAGGCAAAGTTGGCCAGTCAGGATCCTGAAAGGCAGTCTGATGAAAATTGTCAGGAACAGTAGTGGGATTAGGAGCCAGGAAAAATTTCCAATATCCAGACAGGGATTTAACAAAAGGCAATTGTTGGACCCAGGAAGCGGCATTTTCAAGAGCAGCAGGAACAGCATCATCGTTCCAAACAGCAGATTTTGAAACAGAAAGGTCCACTTTATTGCGTTCGTACCAGTATTTAAGAGAGGCTGTGTATGAATGAATACAGTTCATTCAGAAAGAGGACTTTGTGTCTGATAGATAATAATCCAATTCAAAAATTTTCAAATATGATAATGAATAACACAGAGAGACTCTGAATTAAGAGGACATGGTAGAAAGAAAGCAAAAGGACAGATGTTGGACCTTCGATGGAGTCATGGCAACGCAGAGTAACATGAGGATCCCTCTTATTCCACTTGATAAAGGATGGATCTTCCCAGATCTTGTAACCATTTCCCGAAGGAAAAAGAAGCGGCCCGACCATCAAAGAAGCCATCAAATTCCAAACTTGAAGGTCGTCGAAACTGTAATTGACTGATTATCCCTGGAAGATGAGGTGAGGATGAAGAAGAAGATTTTGGTGGCATTAGCCAGTAGGCAGTGTGATGTGACGTTGACAATCGAAGTAAAGAAGACGGCTTTCCGTTCGGATCGGGTTCGGGTAGTTAACGGGTCAAATTTTCGTTGTCATATCATCAGTTTCTAATAGCTCGCCACCACGACATCTCTGGCCGAGTTTTTTTAACTACTGCATTAGTAGTATATTACTAGCTTATGAGAGTTTTTTTTTTTTTTTTTATGAAATTCGAATGATTTGGTCTTAAATTAATTAGAAATCAATTATATATAAGTTTTTATTTGTTATGAACAATTAGTTATTAGTAGATATTGATATTTATTATTTAATTATTTTAAATCAACTTATAAAGAGTTATTTTCAAATATTTTAATAATTATAAATAGAATTAAAAAAATTAATCACCCTTACATTATTTTATGTGATTATCATGACCCATAACTAACCAAGGCACACTACAGAAAACAACTGCATGGTTAGTTATAACTCTTAATCTTAAAAATAAGATAAAAATGATTTATTCAGTAGCATTTCCTCAAACATAAATTGCATTCATCAATTTCAAGCAGGAGTTGGCACATTGGTATACATTAAAAATAAATAAATAAATAAATAAATAAAATGAGAAGTACATTCCATCCACCTGATGATTCCTGAACTATGTGTTAGATGTGCTCGGCTTCCTTAGAGCCCTCAGTGTCTTGTTAAGAACTAGCAAGTCGTCAAGGGAATAATAATATAACCGGGGCATTTTAATCTGCTGTTAAGTAAAGAAAAGAAGCCGCACTGGAGCAACTAATATGAAGTGAAGACAGTAAAAACAATTCATGATTGGTGTGTTTCTTAGTATAATGTTGTCAGGAGGAGACGATGAGTCAACATCTGCTCAATGTATGCCATCAAGAGGAATTTACATATCTTGATTACCCAATCTTCCATCAAACGTACATGGCTGGGCTACTGCTGATTGTCATCCTGAGGAGTCTGTGGAGGCACAGAATTTTGCTCCTGGTTCCCTCCGGAGCGAGGCTTTCTGAAATATTTCGCAATGAACTCCTTTGCAGTATTAGGATACTTTCCCCTGATCATGTTGTCCAGACACTTGTGGTAGGAAAAATCTTCTTGGAGACCATCAGTAGTGACCACATACAAGCACCTGCTTTCTGGGAAATTGATATGCTTGCTTATCTGCGTCACATTGAGTTCAGGTTTACCATTAGATTAATAAATGGAAAACAAATACATTTGAATCCTCGAGTAACAGAAGAACAGAAGAAATTGTTTCAGAATCATGCATATAGTCTAAGTTCCAATTGTCGGAATATGTTGGGTAGGACTTCGGCTTTGGAATCATATTTTTATTGTCCCCCATCTTTTGTACCCCACAAAAAAAAAAAAAAAAACAACTATGCATGCTACGCACTAACGTACAGAACTTGAACTGTTTAATCTCTGTCCTGTGAGGTCTATTACGATAGACAACGACTTAAAATTGAAAAAAAAACTAACTAGGCAAAAGTAGAGGAGTACTTGGGCATACCATGAAAAAATCAATGCCAGCATCCATTTTCTTGGCTTTCTCTGGATGATAAGCAAAGACATTGTCAAGTACAAAGGAATGATCATCATCAGCAGACAATGGATCCCCATCATTAAACCTTCAAACAATAATTCTCTTTTCAGCAAACAAAAATGAGATGAAGATATGCAATATTACGTAAGAGATCATGGAGAGTACGTAGGCAACTAGGGAAAAGTAGAAAGAGATTTAAAAATTACAAA